TTGGATTTGAGTTTCCTGCATGACATAGATATAGATCTCATTGCAAAGTTGTGTCTGTTAATAACCAGTGATGCCAAGAACATTTGTTAGAGAGGTTTTCCTTTTTGTATTTTAACATTTTGACTTCTTTGTCAGATATCAGGTATTCATAAGTGGGTGGATTGATATCAGTGGTTTTGATTCGATATGATTGATCCTCCTGTCTGTTTTTATGCCAATATCAAGTTGTCTTTATTATTCTAGCTCTATGGTAGAGTTTTAAGTCAGGGGAGGTGATGCCTCTGGAAATTCCTTTATTATACAGGTTTGTTATAGCTGTTCTGAGTTTTTTGTTTTTCTTTTTTATTATTAATTTTTTTTATTTTTAAGTTTAAATTTAGATTAGAAACATGGTTGGTTCACAAGTCAGTTCCAGGTCCCTCTCCCTTTCCTTCCCCTCCACCTGTGCCCTCCCCCCAATTCCCCCATTATCCCCTCATTTCCGCAGGAAGGGTGAGGCCCTCCATGGGGGTGTCCATAGGCTGTCATTTCATCCAGGGCAGGGCGTAGACCCTCTCCCCAAGTGTTCAGGGTGAGAGTTCATCTCACATTGTTGGATGGGAGTCCAAAGTCCATGTGTATACTCGGGATGAATACTGATCTACTACTTTTTTATTTTTCAATATGAACTTGATTTTTGTTCTTTCAATGTCTGTGAAGAATTGTGTTAGTTTTTGATGGGGATTGCTTTGAATTTGTAGACTCTATTAAGTAGGATTGTCATTTCTATTATCCTACCTATGCAAGAGTATGGAAGATCTTCCCATTTTTTGATTTTGATATCCTCTTCTATTTCTTTCTTTAGAGACTTAAAGTTCTCATTGTCCAGGTTTCACTTGTTTGGTTAGTGTTGCTCCAAGATATTATATATTTGTTGCTATTGTAAAGGGTGTTGTTCATCTGATTTCTTTATCAGCTCCTTTATATTTTGTATACAGGAAGGCTACTGAAAGGAGGACATGATAATAGGCACTGAGGAAATTCAGAGAATCATCATGTCACACTTTGAAAATGTGTAATCCACAATATTGGACAATCTAAAAGAAATGGACAATTTTCTGGATAGGTACAACATACCAAAATTAAGTCAAGAAGCCCAGGGCTGGATAGTTTCAGCACAGAAGCCTACCAGAATTTCAAAGATGAGCTAATATCTACACTCCTCAAACTGTTCCACACAATAGAAACAGAAGGAACATGGCCAAACTCCTTCAATGAGTCCACAGTAGCACTGATACCCAAACACAAAGATGCAACAAAGAAAGAGAACTACAGACCAATCTCTCTCATGATCATTGATGCAAAAAATACTCAATAAAATATTGGCAAACAAAATCCAAGATCACATAAAAAATCATTCACCATGACCACCTAGAATTCATCCCAGAGATTCAGGGTTGGCTCAACATGTGGAAATCTATCAACATTATCCACCATATAAACAAATTGAAAGAAACAAAGCCACGTGATCATCTCATCACATCCTGAAAAAGTCTTTGACAAAATTCAACACTGCTTTATGATAAAGGTCCTGGAGAGATCAGGGATACAAGGAACATACCAATATAATAAAGACAAGGCTGTCCACTATCTCCTTACCTATTCAATATAGTACTAGAAGTTCAAGCTAGAGCTAGAAGACAACAAAAGGAAATCCCTGAGATACAAATTGGAAAGGAAGAAGTCAATCTCTTCACTATTCACAGATAATATGATAGTACACATAACTGAACCAAAAACTCTACCTGGGAACTCCTACAGCAAATAAACACATTCGGTAATGTGGTGGGATATATGATTAACTCAAACTATGTTACTTGAGATTGGTTTCAGCATTAAAACTTTCATGGTTGCACAACTTTTTATTTCAAGCTTATTATATTGGACATAAAGAGCCATTTTCCTCTGCCAATTGTGTTATTCATTCTCCATATCATGGAGCCTCTGAGTAAGTCAGAGGAAGCAACAAGAGGGAAATGGGGATGTCTTCTTCAAAGTAGTAGGGATAGAGATCACACGTTGCTTAAGTATTGCTTTTGTAAATGACTGTATATCGCTCAGTACACACACAGCACCTCACCACCATCCAAAATTGAAGGGTATCTGAATCCCTATTTTATTTCCCTATGCTCCTGGTAAAAATAACACACACATCCATGTACGCAAAACATACAAACATTTAAAATTGAAAAATGAAAAGGAAAAATGAGTGTTTAGCATTTTGTTTAATGCCCAAAATCCAGCTACTGAGGAAAGTAAATTGAGGAGAATGAAATCTGAAGTCAAGTGTGGAAATTACCTGTAATTTTTGTCTCAAAATGATGGAAAAATACTTGATCATTGGTCAAAGGCAGAGAATTTGCCACATATTTAAGACAGTATGTTCATTCTTCTATATAGAAAAAAAGAGAAAAGCATACCTGTATTTATAAATTTTATGTTGTATGAAAGTATAGCAAAAATACCAGAAAAGGAGAATTGGGTTTATGTTATATTAACGGTCATATTTGATATTATGTTTTTAACTGATTGTTGAGAAATGTACCTTGTATCCCAGCTCTTACAAGGGTAACAGTTAATGAAGAGACTCTCAACTGCACAAAGTGCTGAAAATAAGTGGCAGTTGAGTATTCAATCCTCAATAACTCATCAATATCATCCCCGTACTGCAGAAGACAAGCGGCTGGGGGGTTAAGAAGAGAAATAGGAAACACTGGTATTTGTTTGTGTCTTGTATCAGGAATGTCACAATGATGAACATACAATAGCTGTGGCTAATTTCACAAGACCTTGGAACGCATAATGCTGTACTGAAGTGGCAGGGGTGGGGGATTTGCAGGGGGTGGCACAATCTGGGGAATCAGCAGTAATTGGAGGAAGATGAAGAATATAAGAGGGTAATGATAACGGGGCATAGACCATTGAAATACCTTGTATATATGACCAGTCTTCATCAGAGATGAGCACTCGCAAAACTTATTCACCTCACTTATTATTATCCCATTGAAGAAAGAAACTTTTGTGACCAAGTTACAAAGTAGCACTAATTCTATGAGTGTAAATACAGATTATACACATTTATAAAATCATGAAAAGATATTCTAATGTTGAAAGCTGTAATGCCTTCACATTCCTATAAATGTGATACAAACCATTGAGTTAGATCTGCATGAATAATGTGCCAGTAAAATTTGTATTTGAAAAGTAAATGCATATTAAATGCCAGTAACAAAATTTTATAAAATTAGTCATACTCAAAAATCAAAGAAAAAACATGAAAATGGATAATTGTGAGCATTTATTAAAAGTATTATTATCACAAACATAAACAAACAGGAATAGCAAGAATATAGACAGCACACAACACAGTCACTGAAGAAAAAACAAGACAATGTTTCCTGGCAGATTTATATCATTCCAGTTTTGAAAGAGATAAAATAGGGATATATTCATGTTTTTAATATTTGAAAAACTGGAATATTTGAGGTCTTGAAAATAAACATAATTGAATATATATGTATATATATGCAAATATAGTAAATTCATATTGTTCTAAAAACTTAATATATGTACTCAAAAATAATATATTGATTCTTAGCAATAATGAAACACTAAGCAAGTTGTGTATTTTCTAATACAATGCTTAAATAAAAGATATAAAACAGAAATATGATATATACATACAATTCTAAAAGCAAAATAAGTTTACTACTCCATCAGAAAATACTTGCGACTTCCAACAAAATATGTTTTGTCAATAATATTTATTAGATTGTTTTTTCTGCAATACAATAAAAGTTCTGTCAATGGTTTAATTCAAAATTTCATTTTAAATAATTTACCAATGTAAAATAATAAGATAAAAGACAGTGAAGCAGTTTATTGGAAACAGATGCTTGCTATATCCCACATGACCTGATATTTAAAAGTTTAGCAGCTGCACACAGGGGCTCTTACTGTATCTAATATTCTTACTTGATGTGTCTATAGAATATGAGCTCTAAAGGACTGTAAGATAATAAGGATGATCTTGCCCACATACTGAGAATACACTCAACTCACGACTTGTAATAACAAAGATGCTCAAATATTAGACTTTTAGGTGAATGAAGAAAGTTTCAAAAAATATAGAAAATGATGTGAGCTTGATTGTTATACATATATAGATGCACAGTTAAATTATTTATTGATAAAAACATTGACAAAAATGGAATAGTTATCACAGTACTTGTTTTCCTAAATAGCTTTAAATATTTTCCAAATTGCCACCAATATTACAATGTACCATTTCCTTATAATTTTATTTAACTTCAATAATTTAGCTCAAATCCAAATTTCAGAAGTATTGATTTTCTTTCGATCAGAGATGTGATTAAATTAACTGAAATATTTGTTAAATATTTGTGAATATTCTTCCAATTATGAGTGAGAATTTAGCATAATCTTTAAATTAAAAGAAGCAGAGACTTTCATTTTCCTTAAATCTTATATCCATATTGTTATTATGTTGATATGGGATTATTATGTATATTGTTCAGTTGAGGAGACTGAGGCTTAAAATTTCACTCACTTAGTATGGGTGAGACTCATAATAAATTCATTCATAATATAAAGAGAATGACTTTTGAAATTGTTAATTTGTCAATGTTATGCTCCCTAACACAGATATGAGACATTTAATAATATATTAGCTACTGTATAAGATTAAGAATTACAAATATATTTTCCATATTACATTCTATTTGCCCTGATAAAAACCTTTAGAGTATGAATTTAATATGTTTGTCCTGATTTCCAATAATAACACCGACATTTAAAATTGAGAAATGTACACAATTTTGTTCATGGGAAGGAAGCTCCATACACATAGGAAGAAGAAATGAAGCTGTCAGACTTATGCAGAGAGAGAGTAAAGAAGTAGGGAACAGAGAAAAAAATAAATATTTAGTCACACTGTCATTTTAATTTCTGGGTGCTCTCCCTCTCTTTTTCACAACTCTAATCACAGCGCTTTTCACTTCTTTGTTTCTGAGACTATAAATGAGTGGGTTCAGCATGGGGATCACAATAGTATAGAAAACCGAAGCCACTTGATCCTTTCCCAGGGAGTAGGACTTACTTGGTTTCATATAAGTAAAGATCATAGCTCCGTAAAAGACAGTGACTCCCAGGAGATGAGAGGCACAAGTGGAAAAGGCTTTGTGCTTACCTGAAGAGGAATTTATCTTTAAAATTGTAGAGAGAATGGGCGCATAAGATGAGGATATTGTGATAAGGGATAGCAGTAGAGTAGAACCAGCTAAAATGAATATGGTGGCTTCAGCATCATAGGTATCACTGCATGACAGTGCTAAAATTGGGAATGTGTCACAAAAAAAATGATGGATTACCTTGGAGTTGCAGAAATTCAATGTGCTTAAGCAAAAGACAGTGACAGAGGAATCCATAGCCCCAATCATGTAAGACCCAGTGATGAGAGCATGAGAGCGCCGTGTGGACATAATCACTGGATAGTGAAGGGGGTTGCAGATAGCTACATAGCGGTCATAGGCCATTGAGGAGAGTATGAAGCATTCTGCAGCTGCCAAGAAGATAAAAAAGTACAATTGAATGAAGCAGCCGATAAAGGAAATATTCTTTATGGAAGTCAGCAGGTTCTCTAAGGTTTTAGGTGTGATGACAGTTGAGTAACTGAGGTCAAGGAATGACAGATGGGTGAGGAAGGAATACATTGGAGTTTGAAGCTGGACGTCTAGACGAATGATCAGTATCATGCCTACGTTCCCCAGTACAGTGGCCAGGTATATCAGCAGAAACAGCACAGAGAGGGCCAGCTGGATCTCCTTGGAATCTGTCAATCCCATAAGGATAAAGTCAAGTTCAGTTGTATGATTCCAGGCATTCATAGTTAATGGTCCTAAAATCTGGATATAAAAACAGAATACTTAATTAGAATGATTTTAAAAAGTTGTGTATATTCACTTAAAATTTTTCTAACTGTATTTTGTCTTATTATTATTTTACATTTTGTATTGTAAGAAATTTAATAGGCCAAACATCTATATAAATCACCAGTTGAATATGATCACATATTTGTTAGCATTTATTAGCATATTTCACAATGTTTGTGAAACTGGCACTGTAATGAAATAATTACTTTAGACTATAAGAAATACTAGATTATATATACTATCATCCATTTATTTTATATTAGGTAAATACTGCAAAAAGATAAAATGATTTAAGAGAATTTAATACAATTTAGTCTATAAAGCTTTTGAATCATGAGTATACTCACGATTCTCTGCTCCTCATTTTTATTGAGGAAACACAATTGAAGCATTGCCCATTCTATGAACAAAGATATAAAGCAAACTTAATTTATGGTTAATTACTTATTCCTTAATAATACCAATTAACTTTGATTATAAATATATTTCACGTTTAAATAGGAATGTAATCGCCTTTACTAAGGTATACAACTATTAAAGATGAGAGGATGTTTCTATTAACTGACCATCCAAAGTCAATGTTTTCTAATCTCCAACTATGAGTATTTAGTTTAGAATCTCATTCCATCAATTCCACATTCCTGTTGCCAAAAATTGTGAATCATTTATAAAATTTACAAATGATACTTGTATGTTGATTTTCTTTAATGGAGCTCCTGTTTACTGTAGCTTATCCATCCCTTCTAATTTCAAAAATACTTACTGTGAACCAAAATTGGTGAAGAAAAACCAAACAAACAAAAGCCTCTCATAAGATTTTAGGTCTAAAATTTTTTCAACTGCCAATTTTTCTCACAAAACAAGGAAAACAACCTTAGAATTTGAAAAATGTCTGTACTGAAGAATTATCCTCCTTTAGATATTTGTTCTAGCATTTTTCGTGAGTTCATTACTTGCATTGTGAAGACAAATTAAATCACCCTAGAAATTTTATGCAGGTCTCAGTGAAAGGAAAATATTCTTAGTAAGGTGTGGTACAAAGGAAGCCCAGGAGTTCCTGTGGTATAAACAAGCCAGTATATGCATTGCCTCTCTGCTGGGTTAGTCCAGCTTCCTCATGGGTGAACAATGAGCATCACGCAACATGTGGTAATCTACAGGGGCCAATTTCCAAGCAAGATAACTTGGCACACTTACAGAAATAAGTGTAAGAAGAAATTGAGCCAGGAAAACCGTCATCACACTGCCTTCTTTCAGATACAACAAATTAATTCTATATGCACATATTTTTATGCAGTATTCATATTAAATTGACTCAATTGCTAAATAATTTCATGATTTATATTTGTATAGTACAGTGATCAAGTAGATATATTTTATGTACTGTGGAAAGGTGGATTTTTCTGTGATATATTAACTATTTCACAAATAACTCTCATTTTTTCTTACAATCATTCCAGAACTGATAAAGTTCAGAAATGTTCATAATGGCCATGTATTATTGTACCAGTGCAGTATCACAACAGTAGTACAAAACTTTTTAGACATTGAAATTTAAATAATAATGCACATTATTTCTTAACTTGAAATGTTTTAAAATTTGATTTTTATATTTTTGTTCTCTCTCTCTCCCTGACTCTCATGCATTCACATACTTTCTGTGTTTCCCTTTCTTCTGACTCTTTCTCCATCTCTGAAAAATTATTGTTCTTTTCATTTTTACTTAGTTTTCATGTGACTATGTTCATTATTGGGCATAATGAAACCATGTAAGTGTAAATGTACTTTGATCATGTTAATGTTTCCTAATTCCCTCTCCTGCCCTGCCTCCTCCCTCTTAGTAATCAGCTTTCTCCTTGATCATAGTTCCCTTGTAAATTCATATTTCTATTTTCTACATTCTAAATGTAGTATTTGATGTTGCAAGTTACTTAATGTGATGACCCCACATTTACGTCCATTTTCTAATATGCAACAGGCTTTGATCTGTCAAATCTCTAAGCAGTAGATGTGAAATATGCCAGATTTTGTTTACCATCTCATCTCTAGATAAGCACTGAGATTAGGTCCATGGCTTCACTATTTGGTTAACACATAGGTATGACACTATCACTATTGTATGGTTATCTATGGTCTTTATGTGCTATCAAGTACAGATTAATCATGTTGTAATTGTCTTTATTTTTAAAGAGGAAACTACATATCAATTCTTAACCTGATATGAACTAACTGACATTCCAACTCCAACTAGCCATGCATATAAGAGTTTCTATTTCACCCTTTCACCTAGAATTTGATATTTGATTTCTTGATAACAGTCATTATGACACTGAAATGATTTTCAGTAGATATTTGATTTGTGTTCCCCACATATATAAGGATGTTAAACATTTTTGTGTAATTATATGCTGCTTATACCTCTTGGATACATGCATGCTCCAATTAGTAGCTCATTTACTGATAGCTCATGTGTTGTTTTCATAAGTCATTTATTAAATTCTATACATACTTCCACAATAACAGAAAAAACTATTAAGTTTGTCTATCATTCTCTTTTATGAATCTGTATTATGATATTTGTTTTATTTGTTATGAAAAGCTTTTTTTATTTTTTATTTTTCTGGTTTTTACGAGACAGGGTTTCTCTGTATTGTTTTCGAGGCTGTCGGTCCAGCCCAGCCTCGAACTCACAGAGATCCACCACCACCGCCTGGCATGAAAAGCTTTTTAACTTGGTAAACTGCCACACAAAAATATCATCACCAACAATGTTTGTGGAACTTAACTGGGTGAAATGTGTGACTTTGTTTTTAGATCTGTATTCTCTTTCCTTGATTAATGGATTAGTGGTTTTTTGTGATAATACCACTGTGTTGACCCACCCAGTACAAAAAGCTAAATCTTTGCAGCTATAAGTAAATGCTAAAAAGTTTTATGTTGGAAAACCTGGGGACTCTGGAGGTTTGAGTAGTGTAAGCAAAACACTTCTCATTTTTAATATTAAAGCAAGCATACTATGAGGTGCTACTCACAGTTAGTTTAAGCAAATGAAATAACAGCAAGGAAATAAATCATGTGCTATGTCTTATCATCTCTGGTCATATGAAAAGAGTCAAGAATGCTCCTCCTAAGCTTTTGTGTTTTCTACTGTGATGGTGGTGAAATGACCGTGAATTTCTGCTATGTCCTTGCTTTCAAGTACATCAAATTACCTTAGTTTGTGCAATTCTTCCTAGAAGGGCTCCTTATTGGAAGAAGATTCTGTACTCTGCCCCATCTGTACTGTCACAGTAAGTTCACAGTTATTTCCCAGGGGCTCCCACAACTTGGTGCTGTACCATAATACTATATATCATAGTTTGAAATGGGATATGCTTATGCCTTTAGCATTGCTTTGCACTTTCTGCTTGTGATTTGTATTAAGGATTAATTTTCTTCTATATTATTTTTAGATATTCTTTCTATATTTTGGTAAGTATCATTGGAAGCTTGATGGAGATGAATCATTTAGGCTATTTTTAAATATTTTATTCTGTTCATCCGTGAACATGAAATGTCTTTCCATTTTCTAATATATTTTCAATTTTGTTCTTAAGTATGCTGTAGCTTTTATTATAACTGTTTGTCATGCACTTTCATTCATCATGTTATTTTTAATCTTCTATTTTTATAACTGGAAACATGATTATTTCTTGATTTCTTTCTAACTTTGTTATTGGTTTGTAGAAAAGGTACATATTTATGTATATATAGAATTAAGATCAACTAAGACATGAATTATGCCAGATTGAACAAAAATTTCAGGAAAACTTAAAACGTTGTGTTCTCCAAGTGAAATATGGTTTTCCACTGTGTAGGATTAAACTTTGTAAATAATTGTTACTCATCAGTTAATTATAGTTACAGTTTGATTAGTTATGGTTTTGTGTCTTGGTCACAAAAGATTCCTTTACTGTAGCTGGCAGCTAATGATGAGACTCCTAACAAGTATATGTACCAAGAATATGTGACTCTTGAATGCCTATCTATAACCCTTTTCAAGATTCAGAATGAATCCTAGGAAATAGGCAAAAAAATTAAGAGGCAAAAAATAAGGAATGGTGTCATTAGAATTTGTCCCTCCAACTGGATTCATATAATAAGAACAAATATAAACATATGATATAATTAGTAAGAGATTCAGGATAAAAGATGGGCCCAAAAAGTCAGTGTGTACCCTATATGCAATTTTAAATTATTATTTATAATCACAAATACAAAAATAAGGACACCAGGGTTGACGAGATGCTCAGTGGTTAAGAACAGTAATTATTCTTCCTGAGGACTTAGGTTCAATTCACAAAAAACACATGGTGGGTGACAACTATAGTGATATTTTATTTATGATTTATTAAAATCATAAATTCAGAAAGCAAAGTCAGCCACAAGACATAGAAGCCAGGCACACGCCTTTAATCCCAGTAGCCAGAAGCTTGGAGATAGTGTTATATACCTTTAATCCTATGACTCAGGATTATGGGGTGGATGAATCTCTGAGCCCAAAGCCATCTAGATCTACACAGTTCTAAATAGAAACATCTCACACAAAGATGATCTCATCACCTGGGATCACACTCTTTTAATCCCAGCAGTAAGGAGGTGTATAAGACAGGAACAAGGTGTCAGTATCAGGCATTCATTCTCCTACCACTCTGAGGATAGGTCTCAGGATCAGTCCATTCAGCCTGAGGTAGTGGTAAGAGCTAGTGGCCCACTGCTTTGCTTTTCTGTTCTTCAGCTTGAAGTTGCTGGATGTCTTATTTATTCATGATACAGACAACCTTCTGGAACCGCAATTCAAGTGAATCTAATGCCCTCTATTGTCAGGTGGTGTACACATAGGCAAAATATCTAAAACATAAGTTGATAATTAATTACATCTGAAAATATGCTGAAATACTAAGAAATATAGATTC